TGTTTAGAAGGTCTCAACATGTTCAAATCACTCAATGAGTTTTGTGTCATTGGGTGTCATTTCACAATACAGAAACTGAATTTGTTAGTTAAAATATGTCCTTTTATCAATATTTCATCAAAAATGCCATATCAGGCACAGGAATGAAATTATAATAGATCCTAATTCATTTAAAAAAAATCTTTTCTATGAGACCATCTAGTAACTTTGACAGCTGAACCAATATGAGGCATGGTGGCGCAGTGGTTAGAGTGCAGTACTGAGGACTATTTCTGCTGACTGCTGATTGCCAGCAGTTTGGCAGTTTAAGGCTGACTCAGGTTTTCATCCTTCAGAGGTCGGTAAAATGAGGACCCAGATTGTTGGGGGCAATATGTTAATTCTGTAAATCCTTAGAGGGGACTGTAAAGCACTGTGAAGCGGTATATAAGGCTAAGTGCTATTGCTATCACTATTGCTATTCCATGACAAGAAGTGGACCATGGATAAATAGCAACAAAACTATTAATGAGAAAATGTATGAGATGCACAATAGAGATGCTAAATTAGACTTACTATTAAGAAACTACAATTTAGCATATATCCGCAAATGAATATATGCATCACAGAAATGAATATATGCATCACAGAAAAAAAAAAACTTTACTGATTTGTTAAACTGAAAACAATTTAAAAGAAAACTTTCTATATTTTTGTGTACCTGATATTTAAGAAATAAATATTTTCTAAAGAAAAAAATAGGGTTTTGCTTATATTTTAAAATTACGAGCAAAATACATTGTTATTTTCAGTGTTAGAAATGGCTTAATACAATTAATGAGTATGTGAATTTGTATTTTAAATGGTCTATATTAGTATTCTTTTTCTTTGATTCAAGGAGAACTTTTTAAATTATTCAAAGATAATTTGAATAAATAGGCTATTTACATAGAGAATTACTGCAATGAGAACTATGTAATTTGCATGTTGAATAGTTAAGAATTTGTATTATGGCATAAGCTGTTCTAAATGTAGTTATGTATCAATGTATGTGTTTATTTATTTCCAGCCTTTATTGCTTTTACAAATAACTCAAGGTGACAAACATACCCATCACACCTTCCTTCTCCTGTTTTCCCCACAACAAGAACCCTGGGAGATGGGTTTTCGTGAGAGAGAGTAACTGGTGGCTTTCATGGCTAAGATAGGTCTGAACTTATGGTATCCTAGTTTCCAGCCTTTATCAAACTCTACCTATAGCACTAGCAGTGATTTTGTCCCAATTTCTGCTGTTTCTGCTTTTTTGAATCATTCCTCCTGCAGACTAAATTGCCTTTTATGGTACAGTATAATCAATGCCCTACAGTACTACTACTACTACTACTACTACTACTACTACTACTACTACTACTACTACTACTACTACTACTACTACTATTACTTCTTTTTCTTCTCCTTCTCCTCCTCCTCTTCTTCCTCCCCCTCCTCCTCCCCCTTTCTCCTTCCTAGTTTTTCTTTTAATGGAAAAGTTGGAGGAGATTCGGAAAATTTGTTTAAAACATTCTGAAAGGTAATAGTAGTAAAGTAGTTATGATGTATATTCAATGAAGAAACAATTTTAGTATGGACAAGGTTCTCTCTGCTATGTAGGAAATATGGATGCACTTCACTAAACCTCATATACAAAGAGACACACTAAATATCTCTTTATTGAATTCTCTAGCAGAAGGCAACACTTTGGTAAATTTTGTACAAAGCATATAGTAGTACCAGAATAAAAGGCAACATTTTAATATGCAAATTATTGATAAAAAGTAAAGCCATTCTTTTTGTATATGCATAGCCTTAGACTTTATTCTCTTTATGTTATTAATTACTATATGAATACAAATAAGAGCTACAAGAACAGCTGAAACAGACCTATTTCTTTGAAAAATATGAATATGTACATATGGTTGGTGTCCCAATTTTTGTGTGTTCATGGTACCAAAATGATCAAATGATGGTAGGAACATAAATGACTTCCCACTTCAAAGTTAAAGATTAAATACATGTTTGCCATATGTTGGGTGGTGAATCACATATTGATAACTTTGTTATATGAAAGCAAGACTGGAAAGTGTTTAATATAGTTGAAGTTCGAAACCACAGGTTCACATTTAAACTGCCAGATTAGGATCAAATTAACTTGAAGGAATGAGATCACACATGAAATCAACAAGATGGGAAGAAAAAGGAGATGAGAACGGGATGGCCAGAAAGTAGAAGCAAAATGGAAATCTCAAATGCCCATGAGCTAAGTAATCAATTTGAAGCCAATTTAAAATTAGAAGGTCCTATAGAGAATTGGGAAGGTATATTTTCCCATTGGTGAAAATTCTTGGTTTCTTTACTTCTGAGCTGTTAGGTACTTCCATGTACAGAATAATTTCATTAGTTGACTGACACAGTTGGATGTGTTTAACACATACACACCAGTGGTGGGTTCTGGACCCCGGCACAGCCGGTACCCTGTGCAGGGGGCTGGGTGTCTTAGATGGGCACATGCACTGCATGCGCACGCCAACACTCTGTGACACCCAGCTGCCCAGCGGAGGTCGCACAGGTGCTGCACACTGTGCGCATGTACACAATGGGCTGCTCACGGTATTAAATGTTCATAGAACATGGGCAGGTGAGTGGGTCAAATGAGCCACCATACCGATATGGTGGTCGCTTCTCCTGGCTACTCCCGGTACAGCTGTACTGGGCCATACCGCCCGGAACCCACCACTGATATACACACGTGCATGATTAATAAACACATACAAAGAAATTTGCATGCACATTTATTATCTAATAAATTGTAAAACATTCCAGTTTCTTTTATTAATACCTTTATGTCAATATTAAGATTCAAGGTATCTTAAAATTTTCAGTTACTTATCAATTCTCCCACCACCACCTGCTCCCAATCAATATCAGATAATTTTGTCAATGGAATACTAATTTGGATAAAGAAGAAAATAGATGAAAGGGAACAAAAAAGTAATTGTCTCCAAGTTCTTTGAATCATGCCTATCATAAATGACACTAAAAAACCAGTCTATTTTTTCTTTGGATTGCAGAACTCCTTCTATTCATAAGAAAACTGAGATGACTAGGAACAAACATGTTGAAGTGTTCATAAATAGACTAAATAACACAAAGATCAAAGTTCATGGCAGCCACTTGGATGCATAAATGGCAGCCCAACACATTTTTGTGTTATTATAATAACTGTAGAATAAAGGATTAAAACCCATACAATCATGAACTATAAGTGAGATGAATATTTCTCTTTTACTTTCCTTTGAAAGTACTTTATTTATTATTATATTCACACAGTTTGTATATGCAACCTGAGAAAAACCTGCCTGTTTTGTATTCCGAATATAACTAGCAGAGTTTAAGTGGCAAAAGATTTTTCAAAAGTTTCATGAAGGAAAAAACAACAACTTGATGCACAATTTTAATTATTCCAATCCAATCAGTTTACCTGTATGCCATCTACTTCTAGAATTATGTACATTGAAAAAAATCATTACTCCTTTGTGGCAGTTGCTTTGCTGTAACAGATAAATATTCCACATAAACCATAGTCATTTTAAATAGAGGGATTGGAATGAATCCATTATTTTGGTCTCTTGCTTTGTGCAACATTGTGACAGAGCAAGAGAATTTACAATTTAAAATGCATTTGGTTGTGCTTTAACTTTTGCCGCAGTGAAGATCTTCACATTTGTTTCCCTGTCCTTCATATTTGTAATGATAGCTTGCCAAGAAGAAGCCTTGCCAACTTGGATTTAAAAAGAAAAAGTAAAAAGCTTAAGTTCGTCATATGCCATCATCCAAAACAATCCAAACTGGAGCCAATTTAGTGCACATAAGTTAAAGATGAATTTATGCTGTTGAGTCTCATAATATGTGTAACCAACAGGGAGCTGTCTGGAGACAGGGATTTTTGCAAATCTTTCTGCTAGATCAATGAGCCAAATGCAAAATTTAACAACCAGTGGTATCATGTTGAATTGTCATACTCCCTAGGGGAGTTGAGTCCAGCAACCAATGAGTGGATTACACTGATCCATAAATGCAATTTTTCATCTGTGACAGATATAATGGTTTTATTCATATTGCATAACAGAGAGAGAACAACAGATAATGATTTTTTAAAGAGTAAATGTAGAATTTTCAGCAGGTGACACTGGACTTTTCAAAGAACAAATATATCAAGTCTGAATATTTTTTCAAGTTTTTTATAGCCCCTCTGAGAGGCCTTTCTTTATGGCTGAGAGATATTCATTTCCAGCCATTCAACTTTGTTAACAAATAATAACACATTTTCATACTTTCTTAGAATGTAACAAATAATATTTTTTAAAAAAATAATAAGTCTTAGGGAACACCTCCATATGCTTTATTGAGTAGGAAATGCATTCAACTTTTTCCTGAAATTACCAGCTGCATTTGATCTTTGGATGGAATGTTGTTACCATAATCCAGAAAATGAAGCCAAAAGAAAGAAGCGAATGGGATCAGGATACATATTAAATATGGTTTCATTTTCATTTAAATTTAATAAATTAATTGAGTCACAGAGAAGGCATATTGTGCGGATTCCCTGGTCAAGGAATTTCAGCTGGTGGGGTCTAGAAGAAGAACCTTCTGTGCCATGGCTCCTGCCCTTTAGAACATCTTACACCGATATGAGATTAGTTCCCACCCTCCTGACTTTTTGTAAGAACCTCAAAACCTGATTCTGCCAAATGGTTTGGAATCCCAATGGGGGAATTTCAAACTGGAGGCAAAATTTTTGTGCGGACACAAAATGCCCTCTCTCAGCCAACTGATAGTAAACTGGTTAGGATACATATGTCCATGCACATACATACACACTTTTACAGGATCCGTTCATTTACAGTTTTGGTTATACTATTTCTCTTGTGCAATATCTTTCATTTTATTTTTTCCCATTATTAAAAGCTTTTGTATAAATACAGCACCTACAAAAACTCCATGGCTAAGAAGAGAAAAGCTGAAGAAGAGATTTTGGAAGTTCCAATCAACAAAAGGAAATCTCTCTTAATGAAGCCTCGCCACTACAATCCCACCTTGGAAGGCAAAGGAGAAAATGAAGGCAGGACACATTTTCAGGACAATAATAATGTTCTCCAAGCAGGTATGAAAAAGCATAGATTCTAACTTAATCAATATTTCCTAATACTTGCCAAAGAACACAAGGGAAATCCTATACTAGATGTTCTTTAGAATTATATCAGAAAGCCAATGTGGTATCATTGTTAGCATATAAGACAATTGGGGACATAGCTCACTGGAGGACTTTGAACCAATCATTCATATTATCCCCATTGTCCTGACTTGTAGTGCAAGGATGGTATGCTGGTGAGGGTGATAATAGTAATAGTGATGATGATTATGATAATAATAATGATAAAATTAAAAGTGGATCAGGTTTAGGATTTAGGGTGTGTGAAATATTCTAAACTGAAAACATTTTGAGCTCAAAATAGCCATTCCAGCTATTCGCTGCTCTAAGCAAAACATGCTCAGTGTTTCAAACACCAGAATGAAATATTCTAGATTCTTCTCAAAACTATTTTCTAAATTGTAATTAGGTTACTATTTAAAAATAAATATCCCAGCCCATCCAGTAGAGCAATAGTTATAACAGATACTACTATTGGCTTATCACGTGGGATGAAATGGTAGGTCTATCATGTCTATTATGTTGGTTTGAATTTGTGCATTTATATGTGCTCATGCATTCTCATGTCTTCTGCTGAATATACAGTGTGAGTCAGGAAAACAAACCACTTGAACACGTCTTTGCTCAGATCAAAATTCCTGTAAATTTATAGAAATTTAATTACAGAATTGATCATGGAAATTGCTTTGTCAAATATCTAAAATAATGGGATTGTAATTGTAATTGGTTACTTTCTTCATAAATTCATTTGTGTAAGATTTGAATTATAGGTGGTAGGGTCCCTTAGTCTGCAATCATACACATGATAATAAATTCCATTACATTTATTGGCTCAGATTCTAATGACTTGTCTTTATAATTGCATACAAGTTACCTAATGTCTTTCAGTCTAATGTACTTTTCAGGATTGTTGTCGGAAAATAGGAAGCAGGGGTATGTTCTAAAATAATAATGATAATCAAATAAATTGATCCGTACAAATCCAACACCACCTAAAGAACTGGCAGCTGTGATTTTACATTTTTGCATATATAATAATCAAAGAACAACAACCATACACAAGATAGCATAAACGGCCATGGTCATTCCTGTGGTCATCGGCATGCTGAGTGCCATACCAAGAGATCTTGTGTGGCACTTAGAAAATCTGCACATTGACAAAATTTTCATATGTCAATTTTAAAAGGTCACACTACTTAGATCTGCACTTATATACTATGCCAGTGCACTACAACTTCTTTGGTTCTTGGGAAGAACTCAATGGTTATGAAGGCCAACATCAATTAAAAGAACTGGCAACTATGACCACATTTTTGTGTAAATAATAATAATGTAGTTGTAGTGCCATGGGAGGTGGGGGGAGGGAGGGGGTAGCAGAGGATTATGCACATGACTAAATTCCTCCAGAATGTGAGGGACCAGATGCAATCATTTGTTTCATAGTTCATTTCATTTATTAAATTGAGACTAATTGTTATGATTCCTAGAATTCAAAGTAAAGAACAGAAGGGCATTAAAATATTAAGACTTATAAATTAAGAGAGTTAAAATCAAAACAAACTACAAAAAATACCAAAATAAAAGTATAAAAGAGTAAATAATTGGGGGGGGGGGGAACAGGGATAAAAGGAAAAAAGAGAAGGGAAGGAGGAAGAAAAAAGAGGTAACTTTCCCCTAGCAGGGTTTTTAAACAGTTCATCACTATCTCTAAATAAAGCATAATCTCTCTTCTCCCAATAGCTCATCTCATAGTTAAGGAAAACAAAGTCCAAATACTTCAATATCAAAAGTCCATTAAGGGCAACTAGATATAACTGTTTTCCTCTATAAAGCCTAATCAAACAAGGCAATCTTATAAATCATTGATTTTTTAAATCATTTTTAATCCATTCAAAAAAAAAGTAGTTTGCTTCTCATCTGTGTTTCAAAACAAAATCCCATCAAAACTTTAACAGATTTATTTGACATCAATAAGTAAAATGTATCCTTCTGTTTTTCACTTTTAAAAAAAGTACTTCCAAATTTTAGCAAAGCTCTTTTGTGCATCCAGAAGAAAAATATATCCAAATCAGTTTCCTAGTTTAATATCTATTCATCACCTTTAGGGAATGAGTCATCTGACAGATTCATTTGTTTTACATGTAAATCCCCCTTCAAATTAATTTCATAGACATTCATTGCAACCCGTTCTTGTTTTACAATTTCATTACAAAATGCTCTATCAATTTTATTAAGCATTTGATGCATTATGTCCTAAAACGTGGCTGAAAAGTATTCAAAACTTTCCACCAAGGATTTCTGCTCCCATTTCTTTATCCTCTGGTTCTAATGTCTAGCTTTCAAAGTCTCCTTATCATTTTTTTAAAAAAAGCAATCCCCATTTTCCCACAAGCAAATAGTAATCTTGTAAACTATAATTCCAAATTTTTCTGCTCGTTAATCAGTTTTTAATTTCAAAAATCTATATACTAAGCATCCTATTGCTGTATAGTTTAAAAAAACCAATATTTTTTTAAACTTTTAAAATCAAAATTATCTCACTGTCTTTTAAGGAGGTGGAAACTCACCTGATGAGTTCAATAAAACCTTGCCAATCCAAAGGGTCTTCATTTCTCCAATATTCAAAAACTTTTTTAAAATTCAAAAATATATTAAAGATTAAGCCTTTCATAAATGGTACCAATTAACAGTCTAGCTATAGCATTCTAAAACACTTGGATTTTTTGAAATACTTTCAAAAGTCATCCCATAGACAATTCAAATAATATGTATTTAAGGTACATGTCGTCCTAGCTAATTCTGATTTAATAGTCTAAAACCAATATTACATGAGCAGATAGAATTGACACTGACATCTGCATAACAAGGGTCGTGGCAGATTTTAGAAATAAATCCAAAGTATAAAATAAGGCATAATGTTTTCTTTCTTCTGATCTATTTTTTTTTATCAACTCTGTCTTAAATGGACTAAAATTCAATCCTCCCCATCCTCATTCCCTTCCCCTTATTGTTTTCAAATATTGCTCTGGAACTTGATTTTTTAAAATTGGATTTGAATAGATAGAAGCTATCTGAATTAGGTTTCATGACTATGATAGTACACTATCAAGACCTTGGCAAATCACTCTTACTCTTATGTTGCACATGAATTTACCATATTGATCTATGTCTATTGATCCATATACTTAGCAGAATAAAGGTATAGCCCTTAGAAGACCTTCTAGCCTTTTCTGTCAGCCTTAGAATGAAAGATTGCATCTGTTCATAAGTGAAAAGACTTCTCTGTAGTGATATGTAAGCTAACATTCATAGGATTAATCAACTTGTCTTCTGACTCTATAACTAACAATGCATGCCTGACTGATTCATATTTCCAGGCATCAAGCATAGTTTTGAAGAGAAATCATTTAAACTCATGATAGTTCTACATGACACAGTTTAAGATGCACTGAGGAATTCCATAAAATAAAATGGGCTCCCATTCTCAAGTAAAGTTGGAGTGATACAAGAGGTATAATTTAGATCCTTTTAATTCACAAGTAGTTCTTCACATAGAGCTTTTGTCTGATTGTTGATGGTCAAGTCATAATGTTATCTTGCTTTTTTACACGAGCATGTGGGTGTGAATGTGGATGTGAATGCATGTGTTCATGTGCAGAATTTACTGGTAATTGTATTTGTCCAATAAATGGATAAATAATCTTTGTGTATGGTTCAGAGTCCATTCTAGAAAAAGATTTAAGCACTGCCAGTGCTAGGAGGCTGCTTTGCATTAGTATTTTCATGAATTTAATGGACATTTATAGACCGAGGGACATATCATATTGATATCCAGCAAGTTTCATGTTGTTTCAGCCCCACAGTTATTATTGTGATAATTATATGTACTTATATGTGATTAATAGTCACATACATTCTTCTTCTATGGGGAAGAGGAATGTATTGCTAGAATAAATCATGCCCTATTTCCTATTTCTGAATAGCTGTTAGGGTACTAATGATCTCTTCTGAATAACCTCAAACTGATTTCACATGACAGAAACTGCAATTCATGCATCTAACTACAAGGAAAATAGCTTTATAGGACATTTCTGTACTATTGACTCATGAATGTTAGATTGGCTGTTGGGAATTTTTTTTGTTGCAAAAATGTAAAACATTCAATAAGAGTTTTTTCTCTATTTACCACTTTCCTCTATTTATTATAATTTAATTAATTTAAATGGAGTAAAGGGGGAACAATATGAACTTTACTCAGACTTTCTCTGAGCCGAGGTGGCGCAGTGGTTAGGGTGCAGTACTGCAGGCCACTTCAGCTGACTGTTATCTGCAGTTCAGCGGTTCTAATCTCACTGGCTCAAGGTTGACTCAGCCTTCCATCCTTCCGAGGTGGGTGAAATGAGGACCCAGACTGTGGGGGCGATATGCTGACTCTGTAAACTGCTTAGAGAGGACTGAAAGCCCTATGAAGCGGTATATAAGTCTAACTGCTATTGCTATTGCTATTGCTATTCTCTGTCCTTGATTATAACATCCATTAATAAGTGTTTGGATTTTTGTTACTTTGCCTGCTGTTCTTGATTTTTTCCTGAAAGAAGAACATCTACAAATAAAGTTGTGTTGGAGTTTTCAAGTCAGGCAATAACAGCAACAGCAACAACAAATGCCTGACAAGTAGTTCAACAAGGGCTCCATCCTTTGGTATGGGGCCCAGTTTCTGGAAGAAAATGTGTAAGAAACAATTAATAAATATTTTTCTTTTAATGTATAACAAACAGTTGAACCAAACAATTATGTAAACTGGAAATGACCCAAAACGCTAACAGTTTGGCAGCTATAAAGTGAAACGCATTGTAGAGGCACATGTGCACTTCTATCCTCCTCCCCCCTTCCACAATAATCTGCACTTAATAGGAATATTTTAAACTATGTAGCTAAGCAACAGAGGTAATTGTTGCTTTCTAGAGCTTTTGTTAGGCACTCCACCATAGCCCAAATATGCATAATTAGGTATAATGTCTATAAATCATTATTGTACACATGTGGGTAGTTAAGTGGCTTGAGAGAATAGTTCAATGAATTGGACATATTCACCGAAAATGCTTTTTATTTATTTTCAGTAGTTGATAATACTTTGAAATTATGATAACCCTTTATACTTTCTCTTAATAGCTTACTGTTGCTGAGACAAAACTTGATTTGCATTTCTGGATGATATTTAAGTTAATATTTAAACCCAGAGTTGGTTTGACATGGATTCCACAAAGAACCAGACTGTCTTATTTTTTATTATGCACTTGTTTATCTCATTTTTTTCTCTTCTAGGAAGTAAAGTGCAAAACGGTCCAGTTTATGTTGAATGCATCCCAACAAAAGAATACACCCTATAATCAGCATTATTGAAGGGGCTAGTGTTGTGGCTAAATTCTTCCCTTCATCCAAAAATGCTTTTAGTTACTATGGTAATATTTACTTGATCCTGGCAGACCAGTGTTGATTTTAGGGAGATAATTACCAGAAAGGAAGATGATGGAGATGTATTTTGGAGTGTCCTTGTCAGGAAAAAAAAATGTTTAGAAAAAAAAAGTAGACCAAACACAAAGGATTTATTGTCTTTTGGCATTTGTGATTCTTTTCCTTGTAGCTACTACCAATTGTTTTGTTATTAATCTCAAAGAAAAGGTGTTTACAAAAAAAGTGTTCACAGGCCTTGTATATGTTGAAATTCTTTAAGAAATCCAATACATCATCTTTTAATAATATAATCAATTGGAAACATAAGCAATGGGGAAGAATTAACATTGTCAAAGGGGATTCAGGGAAAAATGTTTTCACCAACATGAGAAAAGTCTCAGCTGCCAGTTTCTGTATTAGATTTGTGTTTTTCCAAGCTCTATTGCTTCAAAGCAAAAAATTAAATACACCTGTAAGTAAGAGAGGCACTTTCCCCACTGCTCAACATATCCATGTCCACATTGATAGTAACTAATTTAGCACACAATAATTCACTGATTTCATTTTGAATTCAATGATGGAGTTGCCCCTAGCTTTACTTTGTATCTATGGATTGTCTTTTCATGAATTCAGTAAGCCAGGTACAAAATATCTCTTTTACATAGTGTTGCATACAAAGCAAGTCTCTTTCTGATAATCTTTAACTTAAGAAGAGATACAGATATATCTGTCTTCCTACCTCAACATATGAAGCAGTGATCACAATACAAGTCACACTTCACATTATTATAATTGTTTTATATTTTGGGACCAATTATATAATTTTATCATGGATTCGCGTAATAGTTTGGTTATTTAGTGTACTTTCCATCTATTTCTTTAAAGGGCCGTATTGCACAGTATGTTTTCATATAAATCAAGAAAGAAATTTTAAGAGGGTTTTAAGAATGTTTGACTCTGGAGTGTTCTCACTGGCATTGATTGATTTTGTATCATCAAAACCACATAGGCAGCATTTCCCCAGGATCTCTTTGACATAGGTAGATTAATTTATAATAAACAGATTTGTTGATTATGGCCAAAATAGAAGTACTTTAACTTTGTCTTCTCTGTTTCTCTCTATCTAGAAAACACCACTTTAATGTCAGCAAAAAGTATCTCCTATTTCAACATGCAAGAAAATGATCTTCAAAAGAAGGACAATTTCACTAACTGCCAGGAAACAATGACCAATACATTAATTAATTTTGAACAAATAGCAAAGGATGTACCAAATTCGCTAGAGAATGATAAACGAAGTGATAGTGACAACCAGCCCTTAAAAACAGAGAAGAACATTGCTGCATGTTATGGAATTAATTCTTCGGTAAGGGGCAGAATGAGTGTTCCACATCCACAATACTGTTCCTCAGAAGATAATGAAAGTAGCTCTGAAATTCTAGACAATGAATGGGATAGTTCCTCAAATTTTTCTGAAGAGATCAGTATAAAACTGCCTTTAAATAAGACATATCTTGTAGGATGTAATCAGGAAGAAGTCCTAAAAACACTTGACGTCAATGCTGAAGAAAAAGATGTTAACAGTTCTGAAACTTTTAGTAGTTTGAGATCAGGACTGCAAGAACCACAGGGCTCACATGTTGACACTTGCAACAATAGAATGCAGAATTCATTTCCAGATTGTGAAGAAGATGATTGTCTATCAGAAAACACAGAACAGTCATTTGACTTGGATAAAACAAAACAGAACTTAAATTTGTTGGAACAAGCGATAGCTCTTCAGGCAGAGCAGGGTCACGTCTTTCATAGCACTTACAAAGAACTGGATAGGTTCCTACTGGAGCATCTTGCAAGTGAAAGAAGACAAGCCAAAATAGTTGACCTTGGTGGTAGACCAGTCTATAACCACAAGCGTAAGTCCACTTTCTTGTTCACAATAAATTACACATTCAGTTCAAGACTTGTTAAATCCTGGTCCCCATCCCTGATTCCAGAGTAGAACTGTTTTGAATTTTAGCTAGTAAATTGGCTTTTGAGCACACCATTGGGTTTTTTACTCATATTTAATATGATTTAAATGTTTTGATAAGGAATTTCATGCATTTTCCTGCCCCCATGGCTATTACAAAAATGATACCAAATGAATGGGAGATTTTCTGCAGGGCTTCAACAACATGATTGCCCCCCAAAAATATTTCCTTTCTTTGCCCTTTCCCCCACTCCTGTGTTGAAAAGTACTGCTTGAATGGTAATTTATACATGACTTCTATATGTGAAAGATTTCAACTTATCCTATATACATACATACATACATACATACATACATACATACATACATACATATCCTTTATTGTCATTGTACAAAATAAATACAACAAAATTGGTTATCATGCCAACACTTAGTGGATTACATTCACATCATTTGTTTGCAATGGTGCAGTAGTCTTCTTCTTCCAAACATCTCCTTATTGTGTTATGATTCAGATAATGGGGAGAACAGAAAGAGATCACTTTCTTTACTTCCATAATACTACAGGTAATCCTTGACGTATCACCAAAATTGAGCCCCACATTTCCATTACTAAGCAAGGAAGTTATCAAGTGAGTTCCAGTTCATTTTATAGCTTTTCTTGCCACAGTTGTTAAGTAAATCATTGTAGTTGTTAAGTTAGTATCACGATTTTTAAGTGTATCTGGCTTCCTCATTGACTTATCAGAAGGTCACAAAAGGTGATCACATGACCCCGGGACACTGAATCCATCATAAATATGAACCATCTGAATTTTGATCACATGACCTTGAGGATGCTACAATGGGGGGAAACGGTCATAAGTCATTTTTTTCCAGTGTCGTTATAACTTCAAATGGACACTAAATGAATGGTTGTAAGTCAAGGACTACCTGCATTTGATTCAGTTGGAAGTGTAACAAGGCTCTTTGGATTCCCCAGTGATAAAGAATAGTGTACTACACAGTAGAGAAAACACTTCTATGGATGTCCAAAATTAGATTTTAAGCAATAAAATCATTTTAGAGGAAATATTGCCATACTGTATAGATACAGTATGTAATAACTAAATCATATCTGCATATAATACACATCATTGCATATTTTATTGGGTTTGTCAAATGATAAGTTTCTAATAAAAGCTAAATCATTCAGAGATAATATGATGGATTTCAAAGTGTTTTAAGCTGTGAATTTTAGAATCTTCACTGCCAAACTTATCAATAGGTAAGTTTTATGATGTTAAATTGTTTGAGCAATGGAAGATCTTTAGGATAAAATAATCCCATGTAAATGAATGAATGTAATTTTACTTTGAATTGTATTGTATATTATATCTATTAATTATAGTCTATCTGAAACTATTATACTAAAGAAGACTATACAATGTATGGGTTGCAAGATATGCCTGCTATATTAAAGAATATTTTTTTTGCAAACTCTTACTAGCCTGACTGGCTTTTATCTGTTGTAGAAATATGGGGTTGTTACATTCTCTTTATTTCTGCTAAGTGATACCTTCCAAATCTATTGTCATGTTTTCTTGTGACAGTAGCATAGATTTTGTTCACATGAGATAGAGAATCTACATTCATTGACCTAAGCAATCTATTTAGGATCCCAGAAATGTCATACAGTGCCTTAAATGGTATCATTTAAGCATTCCATCAAATAAACAAAGATTTATCATATATTACTGGAACATATAAATGTATAATTACAAGAAATGTCCATAAAGCCAAACACCCACAATGGTAGTATGAAAAATACAAAGATGTTGGAAATCTGATACCTGATAACATTCACCATTTTGAGATGGAGCCTCTTGAAATGGTATATGAGAAAGATCTTGAGAATAGGCAAAAAGATGATGTCTAGGGAATTGTCACATAAGACAGGGCATAGCCTACAGCTGCATAATAAAATAGAAAGAGGCTCAAGAGGGATCCTCCCTAACTTCTCAGCCTGTAAAGGAGATTATGGGAGATTTGTACTGTCAAAGATGCAAGATTCTGTTAATATAGCCTTTCAATAAAGTAGAAAATTAGTTCATCTACTCATGTTTCCTGTCAGATCTACCTGAGATGGATGATATATCTTCACTGGAGCCATTTAATTTTGATTGGAGAAGTACTAGAGATGGAATTCTTGAGAGAGGTCATGGATTTCTTCAATAAGATGATATGAAGGCCACATTATGGAGAAAACTTGAATAAGAGCTATTAAATTAACTGCATGGAAAAAGACAGGAAGTCATAATTGTATACTTACTGATTATTCCAATTATAAGTACATGTATCTGCAAAATATTTGCCTTACTTTCAGACACAAACATCCAGACTCACGTGTGAAGAATTCACTTAGTTGTTTTATTGTTCAAGCCTATACACAGGAATATTCTCAGACTAACAGTTTGCATGTCAGTGAGATTAGATACAGTTGAGTGACATTCAAGAGTGTGGCAGAGTCAAATTGTCTTGTGACTCCATAGGGATTTCAGACTAATTCCCTGTTTGACTCATCCCTCTGGTTTGGCCAGTCTCTCTCTAACACTTACCACTGTAATTTGAAAATATTATGGAAGCAAGCAGATCACTTGATGGTGGTGGAGGCAGTTAAAAATATTAAAATGTGTATGTGTTAAAAAAATGCAGCTGGCTAATATAGAAGATACTGTAATTTTTTTTCATTTTGATAAACTGATCAAACTATACCTACTTAATGGATCCAGTTCTTTTTAATGATATATATTGTAGAAGAACTCTTATTTGATTTGTCTACCATTTTATTGAAGATGCAGAGATCACTCTTGAAAATTATTTGTATTTAATTCAGTGGCATTTCTTTATGTTGAAGAAAAATGCATATGTATTTAAGATTTTAAAAGTTATACCTAAGGATGGGGCAGATACATCTAGACAATTTTGTTTTTATCTGCCCGCAAAGATGCAAAAAGTCAAACAATAATATTATTTCAGCTTTCTATGTCCCTTTTCCAGAGAGAGAGAGAAGTGAAATGTTCTATATATTTTAAATATATATTAAAATCATGTATATTTGTAAAGAAAGAATATCAAATAATTTTAAACTTTATCATTCCATTAGTTTCAAAATGCAAATGTTTATATGATCATTATATTTATCCTTTTTATGTTAGAATAAATAAATATAAGGCAAACAGAACTTTTTACAGTGTTTAATGGAGAGATTAGCATATTTTGCATGCTTACTTTTGCTGCACAAACAAGAGCTTTACATCTAATATGAATGAAATATTATATAATTATAGTGTTAGCTGGTCAACAAATCCTACACCATACTTTTAGCTATGCTGGTATATTGATTTCATACAATTCCTTGTATAAATTCATTATTAAAACATCTTGATAAAAACAATTCAACATAAGGTTCTAAGACATTGTTAGGGTTCTATATTTTTGGGATGGATGGATGATTTGTTCTCAGCAATCCAACATTTCCAAAGCGTGATAGCTAGTTGTTTAACTAGTTATTTTTCCACTCATAGATAGTTCCGAATTTTTGGCACATGATGCAAATGTCATTGCAAATTCTAATGCCATATGTCTTAGTGCAAAAATAACAAGTCATTATTTAAAATAGGATGTTAAATGTTGTCTAGCATTTCAGGATTTATTAATACCTTGAAAGAAAATTGCTTTCTATCGTACTACTTAAAAGTACTCAGTCTAATATAATATATAATATAATATATATTATATACACACACACACACACACACACACATATATATGTACACACACACACACATATATATATATATATATATATATATATATATATATATGTGTGTGTGTGTGTGTGTGTGTGTGTGTGTGTATGTATGCCCAAATATGGGAGGAAGTCCACTGCTTCCATTCTCTGTCCATCGGCTCGTCACAAGAGACCATCCAGACAGAAACCCAATATTTTTACTGTTGCCTTTGTTACATTTGTGTTGTATTTGTGCTGATAAATATATATATTTATGTGTATATGTATATGTATATGTATATGTATATGTATATGTATATGTATATGTATATGTATATGTATATGT